TACTCAGTCCAGGACAGTCGTCGACAATGTGTTCCACTGATGGGAAGGTGTTCATCATATTACATTTTGTGTGACCTATTCGGAGCCTTTGCATGATTACGTCTTCTTTATGTTTGAGATTTGAATATCACCTATGACTAACGATGTACCAAGACTATGTTTTCTTCTCTATGTGCTCAGTCCAGGACGGTCGTTGATAATATATTCCTATGATGGGAGGGATTTCATCATAATACATTTTTATAACCTATTTGGAGTCTTTGCATGACTACCCCGTCTTTACGTTTGAGATTTGAATCTCTCTTCTCAATAAACGAAGTAGTAAGACTATGTTTCCTTCTTTGTGTATTCAGTCGAGGAAAGTCGTTGATAATGTGTTCCTATGATGGGAAGGTGTTCATATTATTACATTTTGTGTGGCCCTATTCGGAATCTTTGTATGATGACCTTTCGGTTACGTTTGAGATTTGAATCCCACTTCTCATTAAACGATGTAGCAAAACTGTTTCCTTCTTTGTGTACTTGGTTCAGGACAGTCATTGACAAAGTGTCCCACTGATGGGAAGGTGTTCATCATATTACATTTTGTGTGACTTTCTTTACATTTGAGGTTTGTATCTCGCTTCTTATTAAAAGATGTTGCAGGACTATGTACCCTTCTATGTAGGCTCAGTTCAGGACAGTCCTTGATAATACGATCCACTGAAAGGAAGGCTTGTAGAGAGTCTTGCAGGGCTTAAAGTATGCTCAGCGAGTCTTATCAGAATTAGAGAAGATTTTATATTTTTTGAGTTTATTAATTCTATTGCTTTACGGGTGGCATAGGCACCGAATATGAATAAGGTGCTCATTTCTGGTAATCTATAATTTTACTTTTCTTCTGGTAGCACAACACATTCTGTTCCCTCCTTGGTCTTGTAGCTATCAGCAAAAATCTTTTTTATATTTTATATTGTACTTATCACAAAACTCTATGAGCGGATTCTTCGCTATTGATGTTGCAATTGGATCGTTCTTCGATATATATTGTGTTAGCTCTAGGTAGATTTTTAATGGTGTGCTGTTCCATGGTGATTTAGTTTTCAGAGTTCTTTCCTTAAGTATTTTTTTTTAAAACCTATTCAAGAACGGAAGACGACGGAAGCATTGGCTAATGCAAATAACAAAAATGTAAAATGGTTACTGACTTGTTTAAATAACAAAATGTCAGTAAAATCTCAAGTCTTAATATTCAAAAGTAAAGTGCAATCGATATTTACGTTTAAAGAATGTAAAATTAGTAATTTAGGTCAGGAGGTATGTTTACTTTTTAAATTCTAAAAGTAACTCCGTTAATTGAGAACAAGTCAGCATGTGCATTTAACTGCATGGGTAGAGAGATACATGCACAATTTCGTATAAGCTCTCATTTTTTAATGATTAATTGCAACCACTTTCGATTTCGGCAACAGATACTACATTCTCTGTCCCAAATAAAACCGTTGAAAATCGTAATTCACGTTCAAGAATGTTGATAAACACGATGCCCACACAATGTGCTAAATTTATAAATCAATTATTGAACAGTCCAAAACGCTTGGCTGCCTTTAATCGTAAAAGGTCGGGCATAAAACAAACAATAAAGATGTCATTAAATCTAATACCTAATAGACGTACATAATTTAAGATGCCAGAGTTATGGGCGTACAGTATGTTTCAGTGATTTTTGATGTAAATTTTTGTTGTACCTAATACTATTACTAAGTTACTGGCCTGTCATAGATTCGGGTTCACAACAGAGTGAAATATATGAGCTATAAAATGCTTTAGAATATCGTGGTTTATTACTATTTGCATCAGAAACGTGATAATTTTGTAAAAAATACATTATCTGAACAAGTTCATGTACAATCGAAACGTCAATTGAAGGTCAAAACCACAGTAAAAATATAGATGGTATTCAGTAATGATGCCGAAATGTAAGCAAACCAAAAGAAACTAGCCGCATTTCGTCTAAAGGACGGTTCCTTTATGTTCATTTCATTTGGAGAAAACATAACCACCGTATCCTAACTTAGTCCCTTAGTGATAACTTCGTAGCAACCAACTAGAATGTCAAACATTAAACATTGTATGGCTTTAACATGCCATTAGAATGTCTGCAACTAGCTTAACGCCTCCATTTGGACATTTGGGCAGTATCCTCGGGTAAGGTGGAAGGTCCTCTTCAGATTCCTTTTAGAAATCGTGGGTGGTGGTTGAAGTCAGAGAGATGAGACGAACGAAATGAAGACGAAAGAGAAATAAAGATTTTCTGTGGAATATTACTGTCCTAACATTTGCCTATATGGCCCAAGGAAACCACAGAAGAACTTAGATCAGGGCAAACGAACCCGGAATTGATTCAGCTTCCTCCCGAATGTTAAGCAGTCTACTGAGAGATAGACGTACAAATATACCTACGTTGGAAGATTATTACACGTATACGATTACTACTATAACTTGTCTTATCTAGATGGATGGTACATTTTAATTACAGCGATCCCCTACTGTAACCTAACCTAATTCTTCAGTTTAAAGCATTATCTCTGGTGTATTGGGATCCGTCAAATGGGAGGAGCCTAAAAACATGGCGCCGATTAGGGAAAATTTATCGTAGTTCCTGTAGTGTACCGTGCAATTTCCAAGTTTTTAAATTACGATAAAATGATAAGTATTGACACAATATGTGATTCGGCTGACACAAAGCCTCGGAAAGGAAATTTCGTTGAAAGTGAGCGTGTTTTTAATGCCAATCACATTATAAAATTCGGAAATAACAAATTCNTATACTTCTACTTTGTTGCGCATATGCCATTCCGTCAAACTATAAAAAATCATGTTTTACATTAACATTCTTTACACGAGGGCTGATCAGTCATTAACGTGATTGATTTACACTAATTGGCTCACCACAAAGGTTTTTAAATTTCCAAAATCAAAAAGATTAATTAATTACGTAAGATTAATTTAAGAATAGTCAATAAATAAAATGTTCAAACCGCTCTCATTCTGAGGGTCATTGACCTGACGACAAATTTCAATTTTGTTTTCTTTCATTCCAGTGAATCATAGCCCCAAATAAAATCATAACAGACCTATACAATTTCAGAATGAAAAAAAAAGAGATAACCTCTTTTAGTTGCTCCATACACGTAGACACATTCATAAACAGATTGTCAGCTGGATCCAGCGTGAATTCGTAAATTTATTAGTTTTTCAAAGAAAGGAAAGTAAGTATTTTTTTATATACAATTGTTTTAAGTCGCATTAACTGTCAAGTCATGAGTGACTACTAAATATTACATGGTATCATTACAAGATTCAAACATTTAAACTCTATCGAACAATGTGGAGTCTCGAGGAAATTCAAGAAGATCTTTATGTCCGTTTGAGTTATTCAGGCTCTTACTTCTCACTAAAGGATGTAGGAAGACTATGCTTCCTTCTTTGTGTACTCAGCCCAGGACAGTTGATAAAGTGTTCCACTAATGGGAAAGTGTTCATAATACATTTTGTGCGCCCCATTCTGAGTTTTTATATGATCACCCCCTCTCTACGTTTGAGATTTGAATCTCTCTTCTCATTAAACGATGTAGCAAGACTGTTTCTATCTCTATGTACTCAGTCTAGGACAGTCGTTCATAATGTGTTCCACTGATAGAAAAGTGTTCGTATCATTTCATATCTATTCGGAATCCTTGTATGATTATCTATTCTTTACGAATTTGAATTTAGAAAAAAAAGGACATCTTTTCTGATCCGTTGTAACTTTTGGGGGGATTTTCTAGTGACATGTATGTTTCCTGATATTTCGTATAGCCTCTGGTTTGGTTAGGGGATATATGAAATCGGTAGCGCCTTTTTTTGGAAACTCGTCTGCTTTGTCGTTTCCATAGATGCCACATTGAGATGGTATCCGAGCTAGGATAATTTCTTTTCCTTGGTCGTCAGCTTCTATTAGTAGGTGGATGATGTTTCCTGATGTTTTTCATTGGTTTCTGAAGGGTCCTGCAGGGCTTTAGGTACGCTCAGTGAGTCGATCAAAATTAGAAAAGATTCTATATTTTGTGAGTTTGTTAATTCTATTGCTCTCTGGGTGGCATAGACATCGAATGTGAATATAGTGCTCATTTCTGGTAATTTATAGAATTTTCTTTTTCATCTAGTAGCACAACACATCCTGCTCCCTCCTCGGTCTTGAAGCCATCAGTACCTAAAGATCTTTTTTGTTTGTACTGATCATAAAACTCTATGAGTGGATTCTTCGCTATTGATGTTGCAATTGTGTGTATCTTCGGTATATATTGTGTTAGCTCTAGGTTGATTTTTAATGGTGTGCTATTCCATGGTGATTTGGTTTACAGAGTTCTTTCCCTAAGTATTTTTTTAAAGCCTACTCAAGAAACCTTAATTTTTAGACAATGGAAGCATAAGCTAATGCAATTAGCAAAAATGTAAAATGGATACTGACTTGTTCAAGTCACAAAATGTTAGTAGAATCTCAAGTCTTATCAATTAGACTTTAACGTAAGCAAACTAACAGAAAGTACCCGCAACCCGTCTAAAGACATGTTCCTTAAGGATGGTGGATAGTACCTGTTGATGTCAATTAGTACTGTAACCTAACCTAATCTTTTGGTGTAAAGCACTATCTCTGGTACATAGCGCTTTACATTTATCAATAAGGGAAATCTATCCCACTACGTATAACAAAACCTAAACCCTTACTGCATAGATTTACACAACCTAATCGGGGAATACCCCCGCATCATAACATAAGGTAACCCCCAATGTGCATAACATTTCATACATGTAAATCAAGATTGTTCCATATTTCAACCTAATTAAACGTAAGTGTTAAGGAAATTTAAATTAATTGTGAAGGATTAGCGTAATTTATAAATTATGTACTTTGTAAAGTAGTTCAACTGTATCACTACTATTAGATCAAACGTCCCACCCCCAATAGCGCGGTAATAATGACGTGGCGTCAGTGATCAGTCAAAAGGTGTTGGCTGATTTGTTTAGTAACGAGAGGTTTTTCAAAATTTGTTAATGTCAGTTGTTTGTGCATTAGTTAATTTTGCGTTCCCATGTAACGTTTATGTTCGTTCTTTTTTTTTATTGTGTTCTTTTACATAAAACAATTTTTTTCTGAATTGGTTTTCGAAGTCGCTTTTCGTTCGAATATGTTATCGCGAGTGAAAAGTTTGCTTTCAGCCTGTAATCATCAACAGTAATGATACTGTCCACAGCCAATTTTGCAACAATCCAAAACGAACATGGTCACTACGTCAAATGGTTAGTGATTTTAACGATTAAACACAAGCAACATGGATATCGGAGGCAGTTGATTTCATCCTTTAATTAGACGATCTAGTAGTCAGCTAATTTCAGAAAGAGTAAAGAAAGGGATAGTTCTAACAATTTACATTACAAAAAACAGAGCCATAGACATTCAGAATATCACTTATATGTGATAACTCCATTACAAATGTACGTATCTAGGAACCATCGATATACATAGGTATTATTAGAAGTTTAAAATATGGCGACTATAGGTAAGTAGGATAATTTCTAGCTTTATGTATTTCTGTTTTTCCCCGCTTCGGTGTATGTTGTTACCAACATTCTGGGCTTGTGAGTCGTATGAAGTTGAATTCAGAAATAACCATGAAATTTGAAAAGAATGTGGTACCACCGTCAACAACATTAATAAATAATTTGCTAATGATAAATGATAAATTCTATTCTAGGTTGAATAGCAGTGTTAAAAAGTTTAGGTCTAAACGATTGACTTTAAATACAAGTGGGGAGGATTTCATTTTTTATTGTATTTTAAACTTTATAGAATTAAATCCATGTTGGCGATTTGTTTCCTGCATGTATTTACGTTTCGCGCTACAGTTTTTGGCATATCACGGTTTTATTTACACAAAATAATTCTTATAAGACAGATTAATGTTTTGGTGTATTTGAACTACTTGCTCCATAAACCTCTATATGTGATTTTAAATTAAGACGCCATAATAACTTCAGTACGTATCGTGTCGAATGATAAATTAAAAAAGAAATTATTCACCCAATACTCCATTTATTTAAGTTTTTGTCATGAAATGCAGAAGTAGTGTAAAGATGTCATTAGTTTTCCTTATTAGTAACATGCTCTCTACTTTCTATTCACTGTCGCTTACTCTATTTGGTGACAAATGATTTTCTAGAATTAAGTTCAGATTCGTTCAGACATCCCTGAACATGTTAAGTGAAATAGATTATTTCTTCGAGTAATAAGTGCACTTTTGAATAACACTATAATACCCTGCAACCTAACTTGCGATTAGCTAATCTTCACTTATAATGACGCTCATTTCATCCATTAAAAATAAGAGGATAATTTTTGATATCTCATCTTTATAATAACTCGTCTTCTAGTTGTAAATATCACTAACTGTTAGAGCGTACATTATTGTTAATTAATTACTTCAGTAAAGCGTCTTTCTTTTTTAAGTATAGTATGTATGTACTACTAGATGTAACAAACCTATGATTCCTTCTTTGTGTACTTAGTCCAGGACGGTCGTTGATAATGTGTTCATCATAATACATTTTGTATGACCGATTCGGAGTCTTTGTATGATTACCTCTTCTTACAATTGAAATTTGAATCTTACTTCTCGTTAAACGATGTGGTAAGACTGTTTCCTTCTTTGTGTACTCAGTCCAGGACTGTCGTTGATAATGTGTTCCACTGATCGGAAGGTGTTCATCATAATATATTTTGTGTGACCTATCCGGAGTCTTTACACGACTAGCTGTTCTTTACGTTTAAGATTCGAATCTCACTTCTCATTAAACGATGTAGCAACATTGTTTCCTTCTTTGTGTACTCAGTCCAGGACAGTTGATAACGTGTTCCACTGATGGGAAGGTATTCATCACAATACATTTCGTATTACCTATTCGGAGTCTTTGTATGATTACCTCTACTTACAATTGAAATTTGAATCTCACTTCTCATTAAACGATGTAGCAAGACTATGTTTCCTTCTTGGTGTACTCAGTCCAGGACAGTCGTTGATAATGTGTTCTACTGATGGGAAAGTGTTCATCATAATACATTTTGTATGACCTATTCGGAGTCTTTGCATGATTACCTACGTCTGCTTTACGTTTGAGATTTGAACCTCACTTCGCATTAAACGATGTAGCAAGACTATGTTTCCTTTGTGTACTCAGTCTAGGACAGTCGTTGATAATGTCTTTCACTGGTGGGAAGGTGTTCATCATATTACATTTTGTGTGACCTATTCGGAGCCTTTGCATGATTACGTCTTCATTATGTTTGAGATTTGAATCTCACCTCTGACTAACGATGTACCAAGACTATGTTTCTTTCTTTGTATGCTCAGTCCAGGACAGTCGTTGATAATGTGTTTCACTGATGGGAAAGTGTTCATCATAATACATTTTCTATGACCTATTCGGAGTCAATGCATTATTACCTCTTCTTTACGTTTGAGATTTGAACCTCACTTCGCATTAAACGATGTAGCAAGACTATGTTTCCTTTGTGTACTCAGTCTAGGACAGTCGTTGATAATGTCTTTCACTGGTGGGAAGGTGTTCATCATATTACATTTTGTGTGACCTATTCGGAGCCTTTGCATGATTACGTCTTCATTATGTTTGAGATTTGAATCTCACCTCTGACTAACGATGTACCAAGACTATGTTTCTTTCTTTGTATGCTCAGTCCAGGACAGTCGTTGATAATGTGTTTCACTGATGGGAAAGTGTTCATCATAATACATTTTCTATGACCTATTCGGAGTCAATGCATTATTACCTCTTCTTTACGTTTGAGATTTGAACCTCACTTCGCATTAAACGATGTAGCAAGACTATGTTTCCTTTGTGTACTCAGTCTAGGACAGTCGTTGATAATGTCTTTCACTGGTGGGAAGGTGTTCATCATATTACATTTTGTGTGACCTATTCGGAGCCTTTGCATGATTACGTCTTCATTATGTTTGAGATTTGAATCTCACCTCTGACTAACGATGTACCAAGACTATGTTTCTTTCTTTGTATGCTCAGTCCAGGACAGTCGTTGATAATGTGTTCTACTGATGGGAAGGTGTTCATTATAATACATTTTCTATGACCTATTCGGAGTCTTTGCATTATTACCTCTTCTTTATGTTTGAGATTTGAACCTCACTTCTCATTAAACGATGTAGCAAGACTATGTTTCCTGCTTTGTGTACTCAGTCCAGGACAGTCGTTGATAATGTGTTCTACTGATGGGAAAGTGTTCATCATAATACATTTTGTATGACCTATTCGGAGCCTTTGCATGATTACGCCTTCTTTACGTTTGAGATTTGAATCTCACTTCACATTAAACGATGTAGCAAGACTATGTTTCCTATTTTGTTTACTCAGTCCAGGACAGTCGTTGATAAAGTCTTCCACTGGTGGGAAGGTGTTTATCATATTTCACTTTGTGCGACCTATTTGGAGTCATTGCATGATTACCTCTTCTTTACGTTTAAGATTTGAATCTCACTTCTCATTAAACGATGTAGCAAGACTATGTTTCCTATTTTGTTTACTCAGTCCAGGACAGTCGTTGATAATGTCTTCCACTGGTGGGAAGGTGTTTATCATATTTCACTTTGTGCGACCTATTTGGAGTCATTGCATGATTACCTCTTCTTTACGTTTAAGATTTGAATCTCACTTCTCATTAAACGATGTAGCAAGACTATGTTTCCTTTTTTGTTTACTCAGTCCAGGACAGTCGTTGATAAAGTCTTCCACTGGTGGGAAGGTGTTTATCATATTTCACTTTGTGCGACCTATTTGGAGTCATTGCATGATTACCTCTTCTTTACGTTTAAGATTTGAATCTCACTTCTCATTAAACGATGTAGCAAGACTATGTTTCCTATTTTGTTTACTCAGTCCAGGACAGTCGTTGATAATGTCTTCCACTGGTGGGAAGGTGTTTATCATATTTCACTTTGTGCGACCTATTTGGAGTCATTGCATGATTACCTCTTCTTTACGTTTAAGATTTGAATCTCACTTCTCATTAAACGATGTAGCAAGACTATGTTTCCTATTTTGTTTACTCAGTCCAGGACAGTCGTTGATAATGTCTTCCACTGGTGGGAAGGTGTTTATCATATTTCACTTTGTGCGACCTATTTGGAGTCATTGCATGATTACCTCTTCTTTACGTTTAAGATTTGAATCTCACTTCTCATTAAACGATGTAGCAAGACTATGTTTCCTATTTTGTTTACTCAGTCCAGGACAGTCGTTGATAATGTCTTCCACTGGTGGGAAGGTGTTTATCATATTTCACTTTGTGCGACCTATTTGGAGTCATTGCATGATTACCTCTTCTTTACGTTTAAGATTTGAATCTCACTTCTCATTAAACGATGTAGCAAGACTATGTTTCCTATTTTGTTTACTCAGTCCAGGACAGTCGTTGATAATGTCTTCCACTGGTGGGAAGGTGTTTATCATATTTCACTTTGTGCGACCTATTTGGAGTCATTGCATGATTACCTCTTCTTTACGTTTAAGATTTGAATCTCACTTCTCATTAAACGATGTAGCAAGACTATGTTTCCTATTTTGTTTACTCAGTCCAGGACAGTCGTTGATAATGTCTTCCACTGGTGGGAAGGTGTTTATCATATTTCACTTTGTGCGACCTATTTGGAGTCATTGCATGATTACCTCTTCTTTACGTTTAAGATTTGAATCTCACTTCTCATTAAACGATGTAGCAAGACTATGTTTCCTATTTTGTTTACTCAGTCCAGGACAGTCGTTGATAATGTCTTCCACTGGTGGGAAGGTGTTTATCATATTTCACTTTGTGCGACCTATTTGGAGTCATTGCATGATTACCTCTTCTTTACGTTTAAGATTTGAATCTCACTTCTCATTAAACGATGTAGCAAGACTATGTTTCCTATTTTGTTTACTCAGTCCAGGACAGTCGTTGATAATGTCTTCCACTGGTGGGAAGGTGTTTATCATATTTCACTTTGTGCGACCTATTTGGAGTCATTGCATGATTACCTCTTCTTTACGTTTAAGATTTGAATCTCACTTCTCATTAAACGATGTAGCAAGACTATGTTTCCTATTTTGTTTACTCAGTCCAGGACAGTCGTTGATAATGTCTTCCACTGGTGGGAAGGTGTTTATCATATTTCACTTTGTGCGACCTATTTGGAGTCATTGCATGATTACCTCTTCTTTACGTTTAAGATTTGAATCTCACTTCTCATTAAACGATGTAGCAAGACTATGTTTCCTATTTTGTTTACTCAGTCCAGGACAGTCGTTGATAATGTCTTCCACTGGTGGGAAGGTGTTTATCATATTTCACTTTGTGCGACCTATTTGGAGTCATTGCATGATTACCTCTTCTTTACGTTTAAGATTTGAATCTCACTTCTCATTAAACGATGTAGCAAGACTATGTTTCCTATTTTGTTTACTCAGTCCAGGACAGTCGTTGATAATGTCTTCC